CTTCAATGGAGAGAGAGAGAGAGAGAGAGAACTAGAACTGACCGCCGGTGAGACTGCCATGACTTTGTCAACACTCAAGATATCGTTATCAATGGGTTCGATGGCATAGAGGATGTCATTCATCACAAACAGACCTTTAAAGGCGAAACTTAAACCTGTGATCCAATGGCCGGGCGGTCCGCTCTCAGTCAACGTCCTGTGCCATAACCTAAAGTCTCTCTGATCCTGTATATTATCAGTGACGGCAACCATACGCTGATTGGTCCGGTCGTAGGCGGCACTCAAATAGCCTTTTTTAAGCGGATCCACATAAGGCAGTATACCTGTGCCACTAATATTGCCGCTCGGCTCCCAACTAAACGGCATGTCACCCGCGGAACCGATCGCCACAACACCGCCGTTGCTGTCAATTTTGTACGATTTAAAATCTATGGGCTGTCCGTTGGTTTTGTCGACACCTGAGCCGTGAACTATGACCAAGTTGTCCAACTTATGGCTGTTCACACACTCAACGCTGGCCTCCGAACAGACATTGGCTTTGAATGTAATGGCAAATAACAGACCGCCGAAAGTGACGCCCAAATTCATGGCTAAGACATGACAACAATTATTGATTACAATTATAGACTAATTGTTAAACACAATGAGTGGGTATTTTGAGACCAGTCTTACCGGGCATTATCTCATCGATAGTATTACACTTTGTCATAGTCTTAGCGCTGGGATCAAAGAGCCAGTACTTGTCAGTATGCGTGCCATTAGTGGTATAGTGGGAGACAATCACCAAATGGTCGGCTAAATTGTAAACAGAATAACCGGCTTCTGGTTTGGGATCCGTACAAAAATCATCGGCGGTTACAGTACTCATCAATATATAGACAAACGCTATGTTTTGAATCAATTTAACGATCATATTGTGTCAGTAATTAATGGTCTGATCCAAAGAACTCATAAAAAAGTTTCAAAAAATTCGGTTTAGATATTTATTGTTTGAATAATAACTAATTGCTATTATAGACACGTGCTGTGTATGGCTATCAGTGGCTTATTTAGTGCTAAATTTTACATTAATCAATCAAGTAATTCACGCGCGTTATTATAATCCGTTTAGATATAGTGTTAATTGCAGTGAAAATTAATTAATTATGGTTAAAATTGTTAACTATTGTTAAAACGCGTGCCGTTTATGTCTATCACTGGTATTCAATGTGTAAACAGAATTTCGGATCAATTAATGGCAAAAATACTTCACATAAGTGTTGACAGACATTGAAAACTACGACAAAAAGACAGTATTATATAATGAATGCCTTCAAGAGATTAATGATTAACAAACGCCTAAACATAACGGCTTTAATGACAACCGTATCGACAGTTTGTGGTTATTATTGTTATCAAAAACACGACAAACAACACAAACACACATTTGCGGCAAACAATCGACAATTAATACCTAACGTCGGGCTAAGAATCGGCCGAATGAGTGACAAACACAACAACTATACCACCGATGATATCGTCGAGCACTTCATCAAACGTTTTGTGGCCATATATAAGTCAAAAGGTTATAACGCCGACAACAGCACCGCCTTTGAGTGGGGCTCCGGTATTGTCATCGATAACCACTACATACTGACCAACTGTCACGCGTCGGACGGCGCCGGAGGGGTCGACGTCTACCCCATGGGGTGGGACTGGGAGGGAGACCTCGGCATTAAATATCCGGCCAAAAAGGGACGATTGGTGTACGCGGAACCCGACCTCGACTCAGCCCTCATCCGCCTCATACCCGACCAGTTGGACGTCGAGTCGGGCGTTCAGTTTGCGACGGGTGTAGAGGCCGGCGAACCGCTGGTCATTATCGGTAATCCGCCTCTAATTGACTTCTCTCCAGCCGTCGGTGTGGTCCGAAATGTCGACCGCAGCGCCCAATCCTTATCGATCGGCACCTATCAAGTGGCTCACAATTACCCGAGCGCTGACAGTCGGCATCTGATCCACGACTGTCCTCAATATGACGGCTATTCTGGCGGTCCGGTCATCAACACAGCCAAAGAAGTGGTCGGTTTGATTTGGGGCAGTATTAGTGACTTTCGCGAGAACTGTGCCATACCTTCCCAATCGGTGACCGGTATGTTTTCATTTGAGAGCTAATCCAACAGTGGTTTAATGATAGTATTATCATCTCGTCTTAAATTCAAAGCATTCATCTCAAGGGGACTGAAGTTTGAACTGAAGGACAGTGAGGACAGGCGTACATATCGGGCGTCAAAGTCGTTGGGATTAGTGATGAAATCGGTGTCCGATATGAAGACAGTTCAGCGAAGAGTTTACGGCACATTTGATCCCACAATTAACGCTCCATTAGTTGTGAACAAATCTTTGTTAAACATTAACTGTCGGACCGAACAGTAAAATTAAATTAAATCTTAATAATAATTTGATAATAACTTTATTTAAATACTTTTCAGTACTTTTAAAAAGAGTGATATTATCGTCGCTGTGAATGAAATGGCCGTCAATTCTGTGTCTGAACTGAGAGATTGCCTCCAAAAGTGTCCGACGGGTGAAGTCGTGGACATAACTGTCATCCGATCTCTGGATCCAACCAATAGGACACATATTTATGTCAAACCCGAACCCATTGTCTGTTCAGTTATATAATACTTTTAATTAATTAATTAATTTTTACTACTTTTACTCATTTATATTAACTATTTGTCTCATAACATAATTCTTATAATATTTTCTTTGTATAAAACATTAAACTAATTAATAAAACGTTTATTATTATTATTATTAATTAGTAATTAATAATTACCAATTAATTATGATTCACTGCCAAAAATAGCAGTAAATTATTTTTATGTGTTTCAGAAATTGATAAATCAAACAGATTTTGATTCAAATTTATCATATATTTTATAAACATTAAAATCTATTACAAAAAGCAATTAAATTTAAATGAAATACTAATACCAGTAATGGTCTCGCATTAACAATATGTTTAAATTATATAAACAATTATAATAGAAATCTATAGAATTTCATATCAAGTAATGATTGAAATGTTTAATTAAAATCTAAGACAAAAAGACAGTATTATATAATGAATACATTAATAAATAAACGCTTAAACATAACGGCTTTAATGACAACCGTATCGACAATTTGTGGTTATTATTGGTACCAAAAACACAGCAAACCATACAAACACTCATTTGTGGCAAACAATCGACAATTAAAATCTAACTTTGGACTAAGAATTTGCCGAATGGTCGACACAGACAAGTATACCATCGATGAGATAGTAGAAGATTTCAATGATAAGTTTGTGAAGCTATTCAATGTGACCGGTTATGACGCTAACGGCCAGATTGACTATTCCTACGGCTCCGGTATTGCCATCGACAAGGAGTACATATTGACCAACTGTCACGTGATTGATGGCCACCTGGAGCTGGAAGTGTGGCCATTTGGGCGCGACTACAAGGGCGACGTCGAGCTCAGACCATACTGTGAAAATGGACAGTTGGTGTACGCGGAGCCCGAACTGGACGCAGCACTCGTCCGCATACCGGGAGAGCTAGACTTAAATTCCATAAAGTTTGCGACGGGTGTAGAGGCCGGCGAACCGCTGGTCATAATCGGTAATCCGCCTCTAATTGATTTCACACCAGCCGTAGGTGTGGTCCGGACTGTCGATCGCAGCGCACAAACCCTATCGATCGGTGACTATAAAGTGGCTCATAATTACCCGAGCGCTGACAGTCGGCAACTGATCCACGACTGTCCTCAATATGGCGGCTATTCCGGCGCTCCGGTCATCAACACAGCCAAAGAGGTCGTGGGTTTAATTTGGGGCGGCATTAATGTCTACCGCGAGAACTGTGCCATACCTTCCCATTCGGTGACCGGTCTGTTATTATTTGAGAGCTAATCCAGCGGTGATTTAACAATAGTATTGTCTTCACGTCTCAATTCATAGCATTCATTGAAAGGGGACTGAAGTTTGAACTGAAGGACAGTGAAGACAGGCGTACATATCGGGCGTTCAAGTCGTTGGGATTAATTGTAAAATCAATGTCTGAGATGAAAACAGATCAGCGAAGAGTTTACGGCACATTTGATCCCACAATTAACTCACCATTTGTTGTGAATAAATCTTTGTTAAACATTAACTGTTCGACTCGACAGTAAAATTAAATTAAATTTTATGTTTAATTAATTATAATTTGATAATAACTTTATTTAAATACTTTTCAGTACTTTTAAAAAGAGTGATATTATCGTCGCTGTGAATGAAATGGCCGTCAATTCTGTGTCCGAACTGAGAGATTGTCTCCAAAAGTGTCCGACGGGTGAAGTCGTGGACATAACTGTTATCCGATCTCTGGATCCAACCAATAGGACACATATTTATGCCAAACCCGAACCCATTGTCTGTTCAGTTATATAATACTTTTAATTAATTAACTGATTTTCAATAATTTTACTCATTTAATATTAACTATTTTTTATTAACATAACTCTTATAATTGTTTTCTTTAACACAATTAAACCTATTTTTTATAAAATATTAAACACATTTAAAGTACAGTATTATTATAATTAAATCTAAACTAATGTAATAATCAATTACTGATCATTTGTTACCAAACGTATCGTTATATTATTTTTAAAATGTATTTTAATAATCGATAAGTCAAACAGATTTGGGATTAAATTATGACAGAAATGTATAAGTAATTTACAACATTAAAATAGTAGTACAAAAATTAAAAATTTAAAAATAAATATAAACATTAAGTTGATTAAATTTAAATGAAATACTAATACCAATAATTGTTTCGCATTTATAACAATTTGTATGTATTATTCAAACAGTTTTCCGGATAATTTAAAAGTAAAAAATTTTCAGATATTATATAAACATTGAAATCGACGACAAAATTGTATTAATAATGAATCGATTAGTGAATAAACGCTTAAATATAACGGCTTTAATGACAACCGTATCCACAGTTTGTGGTCATTATTGGTACCAAAAACACGGCAAACAATACAAACACACATTTATGGCAACCAATCGTCAATTAATACCTAAACTACAGCTAAAAACCGTTCAAATGGTAGACACAGAGAAGTGCACCATCGATGAGATAGTAGAGCATTTCATCTACAAGTTTGTGCTCCTCTACAATACCATAGGTTTTGACGCTGAGAATGAGATCAGTTGTTTAGGCGGTTCCGGTATAGTCATCGACAAAGAGTACATATTGACCAACTGTCACGTGATTGATGGCTACAAATGTGTGGATGTGCTGCCATTTGGTGTGGACGTCGAGGGCAACACTGTTATAAGCTATCCATCGGAAAAGGCACGGTTGGTATACGCGGAGCCCGAGTTGGACGCAGCCCTCATCCGCATACCGGGCATCGAGTTGGACATTGAGGCCGTCGAGTTTGGCACGACTGGCGTAGAGGCCGGCGAACCGCTGGTTATAATCGGTAATCCGGAGATTGACTGCACGCCGGCCGTAGGTTTGGTGCAGACAGTTGGCCGCGTCGGACACACCATCTCTGTGGGCAATCACCACACTTTTCCCCATTACGTGTGCGACGACTTCCCAAATATGATGTTTGATTGTCAGCAATACAGCGGCTGTTCGGGCGGTCCGGTCATCAACGCGGCCAAAGAGGTGGTCGGCCTGTTGTGGGGCGGCATTGATGTCTTCCGCGAGAACTGTGCCATACCTTCGCAATCAGTGACCGGTTTGTTATGTCTTTTGACCACTCAATCCGTCGGTGGGTTTAATCTCAATGTTATTTTTCAATAGCTTTTATTGAGAGGGGACTGAAGTTTGAACGCAAAGACGCGGAGGACAGGTATGAATACCAGACATCAAAGTCGTTGGCATTAATTATAAAATCGGTGTCCGATATGAAGACTGTTCAGCGAAGAGTTTACGGCACATTTGATCCAACAATTACCGCACCATTCGTTTACAACACCGAACTCCTGAAGACTAACTCCGCGGCCATAGAGTATACATGAATTGAATTTTGGGTATTTTTAATATAATTATAACATTAATACTTTTCAGGACTTTTATAGAGAGGGATATTATCGTCGCTGTGAATGAAATGGCCGTCAATTCTGTGTCCGAATTGAGAGATTGTCTCCAAAAGTGTCCGACGGGTAAAGAGCTGGACATAACTGTCATCCGATCGCTCGATCCCAACAACAAAACACATATCAAAATCAAACCCAAACTCATTTTCTGTTCAGTTATATAATAAATGCTTAGTTAAACTGCTTTTAAATGTATTAAAATTTGTTTATTCTCTGACTTGTGAGAGGAAGAGAGAGAGAGAGAGAGAGAGAGAGAGAGAGAGAGNAGAGAGAGAGAGAGAGAGAGAGAGAGAGAGAGAGAGAGAGAGAGAGATCCAAATCGCAAACACAATATAATAGGTTATAATTTATAACTTAATTTTTGTAATGTTTTTATGTAACATATTAATAAATTTGTAAAATGTGTCTAAAATATTGTATAATTTGGGCAAAATTTCTATTTCATCTCCGTTTAGATAATTTGTTAATTTAAATTACAAATGTGTTAATCAATGGTTTATTTAATGTTAAATAACATATTACTAAATTGTCAGACATTCACAATAATTATCAATTAAAGTTAAATTATTTCGGCATTAAATTCATATCAGTTTAGATATTTTGTTGAGTGAAATGTAAATAAATATTTATCACTTGAAAGAGTGTCACAAATGCCTATCATTGGTATATTTAAATGAAGATATTGTAGTAATTGTCTCACATTTACAACAATATTATATCAATTATTTAAATAGTTATCTTTAAAACCAATAAATCAAACAAAATTTCGGATCAATTAATAACAGAAATGCTTAATTAAAATCTAAAGACAAAAAAACGTATTATATAATGAATAGATTATTGAATAAACGGTTAAACATAACGGCTTTAATGACAACCGTATCCACAGTTTGTGGTTATTATTGGTATCAAAAACAATACAAACATACATTTGTGGCAAACAATCGACAATTAATACCTAAACTAAAATTAAAAACTGTTCAAATGTTTGACACCAAGAACTACACCATCGATGAGATAGTAGAGCACTTCATCAAACGCCTAGTGTTAGTATACACTATGACTGGTTTTGACACTAATAATGATAGCGAATATTTCATGGGCTCCGGTATTGTCATCAACAAAGAGTATATACTGACCAACTGTCACGTGATTGATGGCTACAAAAAGATCGCTGTCCAGCCGGTGGGCTCCGACTCCAATGGCTCCGACTCCGGGTCCACCTCCGGATCCAACTCCGGGTCCGACTCCGTCTCTGACTCTGGCTCCGACATCGAGACAATAATTGCACAATTAGTGTACGCGGAGCCTGAGTTGGACGCGGCACTCATCCGCATACCGGACGAGTTGGACATCGAGGCCGTGGAGTTTGGGACGGGTGTAGTGCCCGGCGAACCGCTGGTCATAATTGGAAATCCCGACATTGACTTCACTCCGGCGGTGGGTGTCGTGCAGACTATTGGCCGCAGTGGACACACCATCTCTGTTGGCACTTATGAAACTTTTCCCACATATGTGAGCAACAATTGCCGGCACTTGACCTACGATTGTCCGCAATACGAAGGTTATTCCGGCGCACCCGTCATCAACGCGGCCCAAAAGGTGGTCGGACTCGTTTGGGGCGGCGTTAATGACTATCGCGAGAACTGTGCCATACCTTCCGATTCGGTGACCGGTTTGTTATCAATTTGACAGTCAATCCAGCGGTGATTTAATCCCTGTATTTGTTTTCATAAAGCATTCATTGAAAGGGGACTGAAGTTTGAACGCGAAGACAAAGAGGACAGGTATACATACCAGACGTCAAAGTCGTTGGGATTAGTTGTGAAATCGGCGGCCGATATCAATACTGTTCAGCAAAGAATTTACGGCAGATTTTATCCTACAATTACCGCACCATTTGTTTGCCATAAACTGATGACCAACTCTTCAGCCAAAGAGTATCATTAAAATGAATTTTACGTTAAATTTAATTATAAATTAAACTCTATTTAAATATTTTTTTAGGGATTTTATAGAGAGTGATATTATCGTCGCTGTGAATGAAATGGCTGTCAATTCTGTGTCAGAACTGAGAGATTGTATCGATAAGTGTCCGACGGGTGAAGAGTTGGACATAATTGTCATCCGATCTCTGAACCCAAACAACAAAATACATATTAAAGTCAAATCCCAACCCATTGTCTGTCCAGTTATATAACAAATCAATTAATAATATTAATTTAAACTTTGTTTTGCCGTAAAATATCAATAAAATAATAAAGTTAGTCTAAAATATTGTATACTGTAATTATTATTTATTATTTAAAGTTAAATTATTTCCGCATTAAATTCATATTAGATATTTTATTGAGTAAAATGAAAACAAGTATTTATCACTTAAAAGAGTGTCACATACTGTATGCCTATCATTGGTATATTTAAATAAAGATATTGTAGTAATTGTCTTACATTTACAACAATATTATATAAATTATTTAAATAGTTATCTTTAAAACCAATAAATCAAACAGAATTTCGGATCAATTAATGACAGAAATGTTTAATTAAAATCTAAGACAAAAAGACAGTATTATATAATGAATAGATTAATGAATAAACGTCTAAACATAACGGCTTTAATGACAACCGTATCGACAGTTTGTGGTTATTATTGGTATCAAAAACAATACAAACACACATTAATGGCAAACAGTCGTCAATTAAGAACTGTTCAAATGTTTGACACCAAGAACTACACCATCGATGAGATAGTAGAGCACTTCATCAAACGCCTAGTGCTAATATACACCATCACTGGTTCTGACACTGATAATGATCCCGAATATTTCATGGGCTCCGGTATTATCATCAACAAAGAGTATATACTGACCAACTGTCACGTGATTGATGGCTACAAAGAGATCCCTGTCGTGGCGTTCGGCGTCGACTCCAATGGCAACATCGAAATGAAACCTTCACCGGAAAATGCAGAGTTGGTGTACGCGGAGCCCGAGTTGGACGCAGCACTCATTCGCATACCGGGCGTCGAGTTGGACATCGAGGCCGTCGAGTTTGGGACCGGTGTAGTGGTCGGCGAACCGCTGGTCATAATTGGAAATCCCGACATTAACTTCACTCCGGCGGCGGGTGTGGCGCAGACTATTGGCCGCAGCGGACACACCATCTCTGTTGGCACTTATGAAACTTTTCCCACGTATGTGAGCGCCAATTGTCGGCACTTGACCTACGATTGTCCGCAATTCAACGGATATTCGGGCGCACCGGTCATCAACGCAGCCAAAGAAGTGGTCGGACTCGTTTGGGGCGGCGTTAATGATTATCGCGAGAACTGTGCCATACCTTCCCATTCGGTGACCGGTTTGTTTTTGGTTTGACAGTTAATCCAGCGGTGATTTAATCCCTGTATTTGTTTTCATAAAGCATTCATTGAAAGGGGACTGAAGTTTGAACTGAAAGACAGTGAAGACAGGCGTACATATCGGGCGTCAAAGTCGTTGGGATTAGTGGTGAAATCGTTATCCGATATGAATACTATTCAGCAAAGAGTTTACGGCACATTTGATCTTACAATTAACGCACCGTTTGTTTGCGATAAACTGATGATCAACTCTTCGCCCAAAGAGTATCATTAAAATGAATTTTATTTTAAATTTAATTATAAATAAAACGTTATTTAAATACTTTTCAGGACTTTCATAGAGAGTGATATTATCGTCGCTGTGAATGAAATGGCCGTCAATTCTGTGTCCGAACTGAGAGATTGTCTTCAAAAGTGTCCGACGGGTGAAGAGTTGGACATAACTGTCATCCGATCTCTGAATTCAAACAACAAAATACATATCAAAGTCAAACCCGAACCCATTGTCTGTTCATTTATTTAACAATTTTAATTAATAATATTTACCAGAATTATGTTTTTTATGAAAAATATCAATAAACTAATAAAATGTGTTTAAAATATTGTATATGATTAGTAATTATTAACTAGAGTTAAACTATTTTCTTATTAAATTCATGTCAGTAAAGATATTTTGTTTATTGAAATGAGAATAAGTTAATATCGCTTATAATTGTTTCATATATGCCTATCAATGATATATTAATAAAACACTGTATTAATATTTGTCTGACATTAACAACAATATGTATGAATTATTTAAACAGTTTGCTTAGAAACGGATAAATAAAACAATATTTTAATCAATTAATGACAGAAATTATGCTTTAAATGTGATACAGATTTAAATACATTGAAATTGACGACAAAAAGATAGTATAATAATGAATACTTTAAAATCATTAGCAAATAAACGCTTGAACATAAGAACTTTAATGACAACCGTATCCACAGTTTGTAATTATTATTGGTATCAAAAACACAGCAATCAATTCAAACACATATTTATGGCAAACAATCAACAATTAAGACCTAAACTACAACTAAAAACCGTTCAAATGTTGGACACAGAAAACTACACCATCGATGAGATAGTAGAGCACTTTATCACTCGACTGGTGATCATATACAATCTGACCGGTTTTGACTCTAATAATGACCCCGATTATTTCTGTGGCTCCGGGATTGTCATCAACAGAGAGTATATACTGACCAACTGTCACGTGATTGATGGCCACAAACAGATCAATGTCATGGCGTTCAACGATGACTCCCTGGACATTGAGATGAGCTATCCATCAGAAGAGGCAATGTTGGTGTACGCGGAGCCCGAGTTGGACGCAGCACTCATTCGCATACCGGGCGTTGAGTTAGACATACAGGCGGTGGAGTTTGGGACGGGTGTAGTGGCCGGCGAACCGCTGGTCATAATTGGAAGTCCCGACATTGACTTCACTCCGGCGACGGGTGTGGCGAAGACAATCGGCCGCAGCGGACAAACCATATCTGTCGGCACTTATGAAACTATTTCTACATACGTGAGCGCCGATTGCTGGCACTTGACCTATGATTGTCCGCAATACAGCGGTTATTCCGGCGGTCCGGTCATCAATGCGACCAAAGAGGTGGTCGGACTCGTTTGGGGCGGCGTTAAAGAATATCGCGAGAAATGTGCCATACCTTCCGATTCGGTGACCGGTTTGTTATCGATGTGACAGTTAATCCAGCGGTGATTTAATCCCTGTATTTGTTTTTATAAAGCATTCATTGAAAGGGGACTGAAGTTTGAACGCAAAGACAAAGAGGACAGATATATATACCAGACATCAAAGTCGTTGGGATTAGTTGTGAAATCGGCGGCCGATATCATGTCTGTTCATCAAAAATTTTACGGCACATTTTATCCCACAATCACCGCACCATTTGTTTGCGATAAACTGATGACCAACTCTTTAGCCAAAGAGTATTATTAAAATAAATTTTACATTAAATTTTATTATAAATCAAACGCTATTTAAATACTTTTTTAGGGCTTTTATAGAGAGGGATATTATTGTCGGTGTAAATGAAATGGCCGTCAATTCTGTGTCCGAACTGAGAGATTGTATTGAAAAGTGTCCGACGGGTCAAGAGTTGGACATAATTGTCATCCGATCTCTTAATCCAAACAACAGAATACATGTTAAAGTCAAACCCCAACCCATTGTCTGTTCAGTTATATAAGAATTTCAATTAATATTTACTAGAATTATGTTTTTGAGTAAAATACCAATAAACGAATAAAATTTGTTTAAAATATTGTATATAATTAGTAATTATTAATTAGAGTTTAATTATTTTGCATTTAATTCCCTTCAGTAAAGAATCTTAACTAACGATATTTTGTTTATTGAAATGAAAATAAGTTATCGCTTATACAGTAATAGTTTCATATATGCCTATTAATGATATATTTAAATGAAACATTGTATTAATAATTGTTTGGCATTAACAACAATATGTATGAATTATTTAAACAGTTTGCTTAGAAACGGATAATTATAACAATATTTCAATCGATTAATGACAGATATGTCTTAAATGTAATACAGATTTAAAGACATTAAAACTACGACAAAAAAGACAATATAATAATGAATACGTTAATTAATAAACGCTTAAATATAACGGCTTTAATAACAACCGTATCCACAGTTTGTGGTCAATATTTGTATCAAAAACACACCAAAGATTACAAACACATATTTATGGCAATCAATCAACAATTAAGACTTAAACCACAACTAAAAACCGTTCAAATGGTCGACACCAAGAGCTACACCATCGATGAGATAGACAAGGATTTCACCTACAAGTTTGTGCAAATATATAATGTAATCGGTTATTACGCAAACAACGATATTAACTATATGTCCGGCTCCGGTATAGTCATCGACAAGGAGTACATACTGACCAACTGTCACGTGATTGACGGCAACAAATGGCTAGATGTGGTGCCGTTTGCGCTCAACATTGAGGGCGACGTCGAGATGAAATACCCCCTCGAAAATGGACAGTTAGTGTACGCGGAGCCCGAACTCGACGCAGCACTGGTCCGCATACCGGGCTATTTGGACGTCAACGCCGTCGGGTTTGGGACGGGTTTAGAGGCGGGCGAACCGCTGGTCATAATCGGTAATCCGCCGGACATTGACTTTACGACCGCAACGGGTGTTGTGTGCGCTATTGGCTGCAGCGGACACACCATCTCTGTCGGCACTTATGAAACATTTTCTACGCTCGTGAGCCCAGATTGTCAGCAACTGATCAACGATTGTCCGCAATACACCGGCTATTCGGGCGGTCCGGTCATCAACGCGGCCAAAGAGGTGGTCGGACTCATTTGGGGCGGCGTCGGTGTCTTTCGCGAGAACTATGCCATACCTTCCCATTTGTTGACCGGTTTGTTATCAGTTTGACAGCTAATCCAGCGGTGGTTTAATCCCTGTATTATTTTCAAAGCATTCATTGAAAGGGGACTGAAGTTTGAACGCAAAGACAAAGAGGACAGGTATACATACCAGACAACAAAGTCGTTGGGATTAGTTGTGAAATCGGTGGCCGATATCAATACTTCTCATCAAAGAATTTACGGCACATTTTATCCCACAATTACCGCACCATTCGTTTGCCATAAACTGATGACCAACTCTTCAGCCAAAGAGTATTATTAAAATGAATTTTACGTTAAATTTAATTGTAAATCAAACGCTATTTAAATATTTTTTAGGGCTTTTATAGAGAGGGATATTATCGTCGGTGTGAATGAAATGGCCGTCAATTCTGTGTCCGAACTGAGAGATTGTATCGAAAAGTGTCCGACGGGTGAAGTCGTGGACATAACTGTCATCCGATCTCTAAATCCAAACAACAAAATACATATCAAAGTCAAACCCCAACCCATTGTCTGTTCAGTTATTTAACAATTTCAATTAATATTTACTAGAATTATGTTTTTGTGGAAAATCAATAAACTAATAAAATTTGTTTAAAATATTGTATTTGATTAGTAATTATTAATTAGAGTTTAATTAATTTGCATTTAATTAATATAATTTATATCAGTAAAGAATCTTTACTAATGATATTTTGTTTATTGAAATAAAAATAAGTTATCGCTTATACAGTAATAGTTTCATTTATGTTTATCAATGATATATTTAAATGAAACATTGTATTAATAATTGTCTGGCATTAACAACAATATGTATGAATTATTTAAACAGTTTGCTTAGAAACGGATAATTAAAACAATATTTCAATCAATTAATGACAGATATGTCTTAAATGTAATACAGATTTAAAGACATTAAAAACTACGACAAAAAGACAATATAATAATGAATACGTTAAAGACGTTAATGAATAAAAGCTCAAATATAACGTCTTTAATGACAACCGTATCCACAGTTTGTGGTCATTATTGGTATCAAAAACACAGCAAACAATACAAACACACATTTATGGCAAACAATCAACAATTAAGACGTAAACTACAACTAAAAAGCGTTCAAATGGTCGACACCGGGAACTACACCATCGATGAGATAGACGAAGATTTCACCTACAAGTTTGTGAAAATATATAATGCGGATGGTTATGACGCAGACAACGATACTATGTATACCTGGGGCTCCGGTTTTGTCATCGACAAGGAGTACATACTGACCAACTGTCACGTGATTGATGGCAACAAATGGTTGGATGTGCTGTCGTTTGAGGTCAACATTGAGGGCTACGTCGAGATGAAATACCCCCTCGAAAATGGACAGTTGGTGTACGCGGAGCCCGAACTGGACGCAGCACTGGTCCGCATACCGGGCTATTTGGACGTCGACGCCGTCAAGTTTGCGACGGGCGTAGAGGCGGGCGAACCGCTGGTCGTTATCGGGAATCCGCCGTACATTGACTTCACGACCGCAACGGGTGTTGTGCGCGCTATTGGTAACAGCGGACATGGCTTATCTGTCGGCACTTATGAAACATTTTCTCTGCTCGTCAGCCCTAATTGCCAACAACTGATCCACGACTGTCCGCAATACCACGGCTATTCTGGCGGTCCGGTCATCAACACAGCCCAAGAGGTGGTGGGACTCATTTGGGGCGGCATCGGTGACTTTAACGAGAGCTATGCCATACCTTCCCATTCATTGACCGGTTAGCTATAGATTTGAGAGCTAATCCAGCGGTGGTTTAATCCCTGTATTATTTTTAAAGCATTCATTGAAAGGGGACTGAAGTTTGAACGCGAGGACAAAGAGAGTAGGTATACATACCAGACATCAAAGTCGTTGGGATTAATTGTAAAATCGGTGTCCGATATGAAGACAGTTCAGCGAAGAGTTTACGGCACATTTGATCCCACAATTACCGCACCATTTGTTTACAACACTGAACTCCTGAAGACTAACTCCGCGACCACAGAGTATATATGAATTG